AAACTTCCCACTTCTATGGTTTTATCAACAAATATACTTCGTATAATTTAATCTCAATTTGATTTAATTCAAAATTACTAGCTCTACTCATTCAGTTTTGCATTTATGGTGAGGAGTCATTGGGGACGACACTGATGGATGTGATCACGTCGGCTTCCATGGCTCCCGTATCCACTTCATCACATTGAGTTTTACGCTATAACGCCTGAAATGAATGTGCAGACACAAATGAGCTTTTGATTTTTTTTATACTCATTTTGTAAGTTGTGTTTGCTCATTTGGTACCGGTCTTCTGCTCATTATATTTTAACATAAGACTTGATTATAGACACGAGAGAACAGATCATGATGCTCAACCACATAATTCTAATACTCAATTGAGGAGATTTGATACTCAATTAAAATATGAACAAAAAACTTATGATTTTCATAGCAATGTTCATTTTATATGATACATGTGCTCAATTCGTAGCGATGTCATGCTCACGTTTAAAATGTCATACCAATACATATTTCATGTTAGGTGTTAGAGACTGTATAACCAAGGCCATTCCGTCGATCATTTTGGGTACCGAAATTTTTTGTAAGGGGTACCGAAATTTTGGATTGTAAGGGGTACCAAAATTTTGTGGGTCCTTTTCTGCCGCGAGTTTTGTACCATTTGGGCAGCATGCCCTATTAGTGTTGGGGTTATATTTTACTCTAAAAAAATACAAGCTTGCTCCTTGTAATCATTGACCCGAAATAAATAGCAATATTCTGGCTTGGTAGCGCCCCCAGACATAGTCATTCGTGGCGAACTGGGTTACCAAATTTCGTGTGTTCTTTTTATTGTTCTTCGTGTTGCATGAGTTTAATCTTAACATTTCAAAAGAATCATATTACATTAGATTGACATTAACAAAACATTGTTAGGCTTTCAATGCTCAACAAAACATGTCTGATGCTCAACTCACTAAATTGCATAATCCTAATACTCAATAGAGGAGGTTTGATGCTCAACTAACAAAACTTACGATTTTCATACCAATGCTCATTTGGTACTGATGTGCTCATTTTTAAAATGTCATAACAATGCATATTTCAAAAGTATCAAATTAAATTAGATTCGCATATTGAATTTCTAGGAATTGATTATAGATATAATTTAATGAGATTTTATAAAAGAAAAAAATAAGAAAAAGAAAGTGAATTACAATATATGAAGTAGTTATCACAATACTCATTATTCGACTCTTAATGCTCAGTAGAATACATATGATGCTCATTAAAAGTGTGTGAATTCTCGTATGACGAAAACCACGATTTTCACTGAAATTACGAAAATGTCACCGTCTTTAGTTGTGATATCAACTTTATTGTAATAACACGGTGCAGATTATTAGACTCTTAATACTCATTAAAATTGGACTATTACTCATTAACAGTACACTTATGCTCGATGAGCAAAAACCGCGATTTTCACATTATATTACAAAAATGTTACCAGCTATGCTCACCGTAGAGCATAGGGCTGGGCACGGGGCCAGGTCGGGGCGGGTAATGAAAAATAAAATTGAACCGCCGGTTCCATTGTACGGTTCGGTCCGGTCCGGGTATTACAATTTTCAAAATAGGAACCGGTAATTACCCGGCCCGTTTGAAACGGGTCGGTCCGGTCCGGGTTTTACGGCTTCTATTCTTATGTCTTGAAATTAGTAAAAACTAACGAAGTTCCAAAATCAATAATCAATAATATAGGACATTAGCAAGTTTCAAAATAACAACATAGTGGTCCATATATAACACAAGCGAAAAAATCCAATACTCCATATTTTCTTGTATATAAGTTTCAAACAATTAAAGAAATTCCAAAAATATGCAACATAGCCAAAATACATATTTTCTAACATTTGTATTTAAACATGTTGTGTAACATCACATATTAAAGTGATTACTTTTTTTATATTAAAATTTCAGTATTAGCCAAAGTTAACACATACATGGTGGGTGGTAAACACAATTTATATATTTTAATAACAATATAATAAAAAAAATATAACAAAATCATCTTTAACAAATAATTAAATTCCATAGAAAGGAATAATTCAATAACAATAAAAAGTAATAAGATATTTATGAAACATTTAATCAATAATTTGAAAACAAAAGGATGATACTGCAACTCAATTTAAAATCCTACTTCTAGCACAAGAAACAAAACTACTTCAAAACCGATTATCACAAAACTATTAATAAATTAATATACAATATATATAACGGGCCGGGCCGGGTACCCGTTATTTTTTAATTTTGGAACCGGTCCGGTTCCTTAAAAAAAATTACCCGACCCTACCCGGACCGTTTTATGGAAACAAAAAATGGAACCGGCCCGTTTTGGACCCGAACCGCCATTACCCAGACCGGACCGCGGTTCCAAGACCCGTTTGCCCACCCCTAGTAGAGCATAGCCGGTTGTACGGTGGACGGACTCGTAATTGACTAATTGTTAGCAACTTAGCATGATTATCCAATTTGATGACACAAAAATGCTATAGGTACCCCAAGTTTACCCCATTTCCTACCCCATATAAATACCCCATTTTTTGCCATCCTTTTTACCCCTTTCCAAAAATACTTTTCTCTCACCTCTCTCACATCTCCCCAACCCACTCCTCAACTTTCCGCCAAAACACCTCTCCTCCTTCAAAACTTGCTACAGTGCTCAACCCATCCTCTCACCTGCTTCTTTCTTTCATCTTCTTGGATGGATATATGGGGAAGGAAGTATCCGAGTTTAGCGATGGGTTGTTTTGGATGGCTTGACATGGGAAGATGAAGGTCACAAGCTTGATGACGTGGGTGAAGGTGGAAATCTGCCATCTCCGGTCGCTGTTGAAGTAGCGACGACTTCAATGGAAAAAGATGATGAAGGTGTGGACGTTAAAGTATTGGAGAAGAGTATGTTGTTTTTTGTCATTTGTTTGTATTTTGTTTGGGGGACAGACATTTTGAAAATGCAGTGTCTGTCTAGCCTAAAGTGAAAGTGGTTTCATAGTTGTTTGAAGTGAACATGGTTTTATATGAGTTAGAGTCGCACATAAAATGTGTGTGTGACCAGACAACTTTTATGTATGATATAAAAGTGAATAATTGATTAGTTTGTTTCATTGTAATGATTTTGAGGTGTTAATTAATTAAAATTTTAGTGTAATTTCTCTAATTCATTTTATGCCCATAACATGTTTGTAGAAATTACTCAATGAAGTTTTTGTGGAAATTCAAGACTTTTTTCCATTCTTTACTTGATCTTCTTGGATGGATATCATGGGAAAGGAAGTATCCCACTTTAGTGATGAGGTTCTTTTGGATGGCTTGACATGGGGAGATGAAGGTGACAAGGTTGATTAACTACTCTTTGTCTTACAGCCAGACAAATTTTGTCTGAACCAGACATTAGTAGTCTGTGCCAATTAACTACTCTCTGTCTTACAGCCAGACAAATTTTGTCTGGGCCAGACATTAGTAGTCTGTGCCACTTAACTACTCTCTGTCTTACAGCCAGACAAATTTTGTCTGGGCCAGACATTAGTAGTCTGGGCCAATTAACTACTCTCTGTCTCACGGCCCGACAAAAGTTGGTTGTGCCAGACAATAGATGTCTCTTCCAGACAAATTGACTATGCACATCTTATTTTACAAATGTATTTTATAGTATGTGTGATGACTTTTGTGATGTCTCTCTTCGGATGTTGAAAATTGGTTTGTAGTTGTCTGTGAAGTGAAAAGAGTTGTCTGGCATTCCATTTGAATTGTCTGAATGTGATATAAAATGTCTGGCCTTTCTTCTGAATTGTCTGTCTACAGGTCGGGAGAATGTGGAGTGATTGTGGCTTCCTTTGCAGAGCACCTGTTAATGGGAAAGCCATTGATTCTAGGTTGTGAGTATGCAAACACGTGGAACTAGAGATTTCAATACGTCGTTCGTTTGTGGCGATTGGAGAAAGTGGAGGAAGCATAAGTTTAGTAATTAATGTGGGAATGTGTTTTTGTGGGTTGTTTTGATGGGTTTAGTAAAACTGTATTTTATAGTACATTTTGATTAGTTTAGTAATTGTTAATGTGGTTATATAAAAGTGTTCAGAGATATGATTGTATTTGTTAATGTACAGAGATAACCGTTGAATAGACAAACAATAGAGATAACCAGACAGACATTACTTTCACGCAGAAAGACAATAACTTTACACATACAGACCATACCGCAGATACCCAGACAAACAAAAGGTCAACATACATAAGTGGATGATTGTACATGTAATGTTTGCAAAAACTTACACATGTTCAAAAAACTGAATCCAATTGCTCACCATTGAACATGTAACATTGTACAATACTCAACACATTTTCCCAATTGTAATATGAAAAAAAAATACATGCTCAAAAATTCACAAGTTCAAAACGGACACATTTTCCCAACACTCTATACTTCAGCATTCTTCAAGACTAGTTTATATAATCCTTGCATTTGTTTCTCCATTGCAAAAGAAGTCACACATGGTATAATTTTGTAAATGAATTAGCGCCCGCTTGGAACTCTTTTTCAACCTTACATTTTAAGTCATTCGTCATCTTGAAGTGAATACATGCGATTAATACACAACACATAGTCAGAACACATATTTGGTACAAATAACATATGTGAGGCATAGTCAATTTGTCTGGCACAACCAACTTTTGTCGGGCCGTGAGATAGAGAGTAGTTAATTGGCCCAGACTACTAATGTCTGGCCCAGACAAAATTTGTCTGGCTGTAAGACAGAGAGTAGTTAAGTGGCACAGACTACTAATGTCTGGCCCAGACAAAATTTGTCTGGCTGTAAGACAAAGAGTAATTAATCAACCTTGTCACCTTCATCTCCCCATGTCAAGCCATCCAAAAGAACCTCATCACTAAAGTGGGATACTTCCTTTCCCATGATATCCATCCAAGAAGATCAAGGAAAGAATGGAAAAAAGTCTTGAATTTCAACAAAAACTTCATTGAGTAATTTCTACAAACATGTTATGGGCATAAAATGAATTAGAGAAATTACACTAAAATTTTAATTAATTAACACCTCAAAATCATTACAATGAAACAAACTAATCAATTATTCACTTTTATATCATACATAAAAGTTGTCTGGTCACACACACATTTTATGTACGACTCTAACTCATATAAAACCATGTTCACTTCAAACAACTATGAAACCGCTTTCACTTTAGGCTAGACAGACACTGCATTTCCATAATGTCTGTCCGCCAAACAAAATACAAACAAATGACAAAAAACAACATACTCTTCTCCAAGACTTCAACGTCCACACCTTCATCATCTTCTTCCATTGAAGTCGTCGCTACTTCAACAGCGACCGGAGATGGCAGATTTCCACCTTCACCCACGTCATCAAGCTTGTGACCTTCATCTTCCCATGTCAAGCCATCCAAAACAACTCATCGCTAAACTCGGATACTTCCTTCCCCATATATCCATCCAAGAAGATGAAAGAAAGAAGCAGGTGAGAGGATGGGTTGAACACTGTAGCAAGTTTTGAAGGAGGAGAGGTGTTTTGGCGTAAAGTTGAGGAGTGGGTTGGGGAGATGTGAGAGAGGTGAGAGAAAAGTATTTTTGGAAAGGAGTAAAAAGGATGGTAAAAAAAATGGGGTATTTATATGGGATAGGAAATGGGGTAAACTTGTGGTACTTATAGCATTTTTGGAAGCTTCGATCACTACATTCCTCTCTGAGTTACTCTGTACACTAACTAAGCACATTCACTTTGCTGCTATTTCACAGCCCTCGAATTTCTGAAAAATCATATCCCTCCTCTCATTCCAAGGTACGCACTTATATTTGTGATTGGCAAATGGCTCAATGCTACTGGTTGATTGCGATGTAGAGTTAGTACAACCTGTTGTTCAGTCACTGATTGTTCTATTGCATTGCTCAGAAGTTTGATTCTGTTTATAGCAATTCGGAATTTGTTTAATTTTTGGTGAAACATTCGATAAGATTTGTTTTTTTTTAAATGCATCACATATTTCTGGGAACTTGTTGAAGTCTCACGCAGGAAAGCTATAAAATAATAAAACACTATATAAGGAGGCTTTGAGCTACTCCTCCTTTCCTCCTTTCAGGTTGACGTTTTAGGATGGAACCCCGGGTCTTAACAGAACTCATGAAATGTTAGGGCTGATTATTATCTTTATCTTCACATTGTCAACAGGGACTCAAACCGCCAGTGGCCCAGTACTGAGGTGGAATGACCTAGTCCTTTTATTACAGTTGCATCTGGAAGACTAGATTTTTGGTTTTTAGATACCCAAGTTGACTTCAAAATGCGTAAAACATGAGCGGTTATTAGTTTGACTGACGATAAAGCAAATTGATCCCTGTCAGCACTCAAATTAGTTCTAGAAAATAAAATTTACATATTCAGAAACTACATTAAAACCACTACAAAGTCTGCAAAAAATAATTCAAATTTCATAAAATTTTTATTTATAAAATAAAAAATGGAGTGATTTATGTTGACCAAGTGAATAGTAAATGTATCTTACAATTTGAGACTGAGGGAGTATTTATTTTCCATATGTGGCTATAGGTCGGTTGTAGTATATGGTTATGGATCATCCGCTCAGAAGCTTGCCTAACTCCTCTATGAACAGTTTCGAGTTGGAGAATGAGATCATTTTCTCTACCTTTAAACCATCAGTGGACATTCCAGACAGTTACAAGCATGCCCTTTCAGTGGCACAACATCCCAACCTGGGCACTCATGATCCTGCTTTGGACTCTGATTCCACGCTGAACTACATTAGCCAGATGCTACTGGAGGAAGAGAGCATTGATGGGAACAATCAGAACATGTCCTTTGATCCCATTGCTCTTAGAGCTGCTGAGAATGCCTTTTATGAAGCCTTGCATGAGAACCCTTCCCCACCTATTCACAACATTCCTGGAAGCTTATTCAGGAATGATGTTGATCCAGGAGAATGCGAATCATGTGTTACGAGTGAGCCTCCCCCCGATCTCGCCATCAAGTTATCATCCGGTTTGTCAAACGGTTCTCTATATAGCTTTGGTGATAGTGATTCCATATCTCGATTCATGAGAGGTGCGGCTGAATCTAGTAGATGCCTTCAAGCTGCCCCTAAACAGCATATCATCAATGACTTGGAGAAACATGAGGAGTCACCGAGAGATATTGATGTCCCCAAGATAGATAAGGACCGTTCAGTGAATTCGTACCGTAGAGGAAAGAAGCATTATTACCATCCAGATGAAAGTGGGGTGGAAGAAGAAAGGATAAACAAGCAGCCTGCACTTTGTAAGGAGGAAGTTGAGTTATCAGAGGATTTTGATAATGTTTTGCTGTGTGGTGAAGATGATGATGGTGATGATAGTGCTTCTCTATCCCGACTCGGACAAAAAGGACAAAGTGGCCGCCGCCATCTTAAGAAACGCGGAGGTAATTGTGAAACTGTGGATCTGGTGTCTCTTTTAATTAGCTGTGCACAATCTGTTGCATATGCTGATTATAGGGGTGCAGAAGATAAATTAAAAAAGATCAGGCAGCACTCTTCACCTACAGGTGACCCAAATCAAAGAGTGGCTAATGTATTCGCTGATAGTCTGGAGGTGCGGTTGGCTGGAACTGGGACACAAGTATATAAAGCAATGTCTAATAATGATGTCCTAGTCCCTGAGTTGCTAAAGTCCTACCTGTCACCTTTGCCGTTTATGAGAATGGCAGTTTTCTTTGCGAATAGAATGATTTACGAAGTAGCGTCAAAATGTGTCTCACTGCACATTATAGACTTTGGGATTCATTATGGTATCCAGTGGCCCACTCTTATCCGGGACCTTTCTCAAAGACCTGATGGCCCGCCTAAACTTCGAATAACAGGAATCGAGATTCCCCTACCCGGTTTTTGTCCAGAGCAGATGGTAGAAGAAACAGGTTCCCGCTTAGCAAAATGTTGCCAGTGTTTCGGTGTGCCATTCGAGTACAACGCGCTAACAAGGCAGAATTGGGAGACTATAACAATTGAGGATTTAAAGCTTTTGAGTGATGAGGTGGTTGCTGTTAACTGTTTTATTCGATTAGAGTACATTTTGGATGAGACATTGGTTGTTATGAACAGTCCTAGGGATGCAGTTTTAAACTTAATACGGCAAGTAAGTCCTCGTATATATGTCCAAGCAATGAGTAACGGACCTCACAGCTCTCCTTTCTTTGTCAATCGGTTTCGAGAAGCTCTCTCATTCTACTCTACTGTCTTTGATACGTGTGTGGCTATTTTGCCACTCCATGAGCATCATAGATTGATTTTAGAACAAGAAGTTCTAGGTCGAGAGATAATGAACATCATTGCATGTGAGGGCATGGAAAGATTGTTGAGGCCTGAAACATGTAAGCAGTGGCAATCTCGCATTTTGAGGGCAGGCTTCAAGCCCATGTCGACTAACCCCAAACTCGTGAAAAAGTTAAAAAGCAAGGTGAGGGCAGGATATCACAAAGACTTTCTGTTTGTGGAAGAGGGCAACTGGATATTGCAGGGGTGGAAAGGTCGAATTCTTGGAGGCAGCTCTTGCTGGGTTGCTGCGTGACATTCTAACAACGTCAGATAGTAAGTACAATTAGTAATTATTGCTGCTTGCGACATGACAGTCTCCCAACCAGGACATGGTAGAATTTGTTTTAGTGGAATGTTTTTACATATCACCTCTATTCTTTTTTTTTTAAAATGTGACTAAACTTTGTTTAAATCATTCAAGTTTCTTCCTTCTCCAACCCCTATTCAATTTCTTACAACAGGAGACCAAGTGCTGAATTGTTTTTTCCCATGTTTTTTTTTTGAAAAAACTCGCCGGGAAAAGAGTAGATTGTTTTCCCGTTAATAACAATAATCATAAGTTCCTAGGTTTCACTGACACTTGTGGCAGCGGGAATGAAACAGGTCGATCAGTGTCGTATCAAAGGTAGGGAAAGGGGCAACCATCCTCAACCTATATATATACACATATACAGGCTAGACAATAATCCCGTGCAAATGCACGGGAAAGAGCTGTGATTAAAGTTATGTAGATTTGAATAATATGTAATACAAACATGTCTAATATGTAAATTATATTTACAAATACTCCGTTTTTTCTCATAGTTTTTTCAAATATTACAACATAACATACATAGTTTTTTCCCAAATGTCGTTCTCTTTTAAAAGAAGAGATGTTACATAACTTTATCGTTATATTCGAACCAAAGTTCTGTTTTGAAAATAGGAAAAATTGCTTATAATAATCCTTATTAGGGAGTAACATTAAAATTTATATCCAAATATATTAATCTAGTGAAGAAAGTACTACATAAACTTTACATGTCAGATTGTATTATTTACAATTTAATTAGTCTAAATTTCTAAAACAATGGTTCTTTCATGAACCCAAACCAGATATATACTTCGTATATATATACACATACTGAGTATTAGGGTATTAAAGAACACAGTATTATTTCAAGCTAGCAGGCATCTAAATCAAAAGTAGAAGATAACCCACTGGAGCTTCGAGTGGGTGCCGGAGAACAAACCGGGCTAAGTGAACCAGACCGGACTTCCTTCTTCTTCTTCGTCTTCCAATCGGCAGAAAACGAGACCAACTCAGAGGCTGAATGAACGAACCTTGTGAGGATCCTTGCCTTGATGTATCCTCTTTTTGGTGGGGGCGGTCGGCTTGACTTGCTCAAGGCTTGTTCCATCTTTCCCAGATTTTCTATGGTTAGCAAGAAATTTAAGATGGAGCTAGCTAGTAATAAAATAATATGCTCTGTTCTGGTTCTCCAAGAGCAGAGGAAATAAAGTATCTTGGCTGGTCTTTCTTGGGTGTGCTACTACAGACAGGAGAATTGGGGACAAATTTATACCCCACAAAATAGGGACTGTTGAATGATGTCATTGATTCCGTACTATTAAGGTTTTGTTTTGTCCCATAAATTTCATACTGCACTTGGATGAATCTAAATTCATGAGTAAAGGGCCATTTGAATCTATTTATTAAAACTGCTACTATTCCTTCAGTATAAACAGATATTGGAAATTTGGAATGTTTAGGTAGAAATACCTAATTATTTTCGGGTGCTCCAAAATGAAGTAGAAGTAGGATCAATTCCAAATACGCCTAAATTAGAGTGAATCTTGGACACTTGTAAATACTATTAGGCTATTTCGAAGGAGGTTATCCGGCTCTCTTTACTACCTCAATGAATTCAATCATATACCATTATACCCTTTAGTTCTTCCATCCTATTAAGAGGGCAGGTTGAGGGACTAACGCAATTATTAAGAAAAATAGTGTTACATGATTTATATTGAATTGAAAAAGTCTAAATAAATTAAAAAGGAAATACAATTTTACACATTATCACATATGATATGTGACAAATTAAGCGGCACCCATGTAAAAGGTGAAACCAGACAAAATAGAGGGCAAGAATGTTTTTGCTTATGATAAAGTTATTCTAATGCCCTTAAATAATGGATGGATTCTCAAATGAACACGCAATATTTTACATATCGAATCTGCCGAATCATGTCTACCTGTAGTTTAGTTTGCAGTTGAATGGTCTCCATAGAGCTGAAGATATGATTCTAAGGGAATAACTAGCTAGCTAGTATAATCTAGAAGGCATTCCATTGACCAGTTATAGCTTTGAAATCGATTGGTTTGCAATTAAATGGCTCCATATTAATTAGTTATTATAATCAATAGAAGAAATAACTGAGTAGTGAGTTAGGTTATATTACTATATTAGTTATATAATAGTAATATATTCTTTTACTTGCTCTTCTCTAAAAAATAATCATATGAGATTTTCTTGAATAATAATATTAAACTTTAATCGATGTACTGAGACCAGATATGACTCACTAAATGAACTAACCGTTGGGCATTAGTCTATTACCCAAGGGCAAGCATCTTCAATTCTTCTTAGTAGCCACATCATTCCAATCAATGGTTCCTTTATAAAATGTAATAGGAAACAGTTCAGAATTTTAATATAGCACTTTATTATTCCGTCATATATTTCGTGTGTGAACAACACATTTCTCCTCACGACCAGACATTTCGTCTATGATCTCGATCGTATGTCATTCATTTTTTATGGGTTCGTGATTGTCACTTTTTATAATTATCCTCATTTTATCGTACTATATATCCTAGGGGACTCACACCATGATAATGGATCAATTTGACTCTCATAGCATGCTAAAACCTAATGGTCCATCCTAAATAGGGCTGGGGAAAAACTCCCGACTCCCGATCCCGACAATCCCGATAATCCCGATCCCGACAATCCCGATCCCGACTAGTCGGGAATTTTTCCCGATCCCGACTAAGTCGGGACGGGACCAGGATTTTTTTTAAAGTCGAGATCGGGAAAATCCCGACATCCCGAGATTATATATATATATATATATATATATATATATATATGTATAGAATTATATATGAATATATAAAAAATGAATATACATTTATAAAAAATGAATATGTATCTAAATAATTTCATATCTTTTTTAATTACTTATTCCTTACATAGATTAATCTTTTACTACGAGTATCTTACAATATCAAACTTCTAAAACTATTCGGCATTTGTCCCAAAATGAATATTCGGGATCCTAACTAAATAGAGATTATTCTTGATCCAGACAATCTAAATCACAACAATATTACAAATTTTGCGGTTCTGATGAACCCTTTAAAAATCATGATCGAGACTAAGATTTTTTTCTTTAGTAAATAATCATAATATGTATTTATACATTGGCCACAAAGTTTATGAACGAGTCTACTTAGTTTTGAATTTTAAATAATATACGTTACACATTCTTCTTTTAGTGATTTTTATATAATGTTTGAAGTAAGTTTCACTAAGCCTTGATAGCTTATTAAAAAATTATACTATTAATTAATTGAAGTTACAAATAAAAATTATTCTAAAAGTATGTACTAGTGTGAATTTGTGATGATAATTATTACAATAAATTTTATAAGTAGATGATGATAAATATGGTATAACAATGAACAAAGAGTAATCTTGAAACCATTAAATATCAAAGTTAGTGTTTAACTAAAGAAATTACATAATTTTATGTTTGATACTTCATTGTCGGGATTTAGCGGGATTAAGTGGGATTCCCGATCGGGATCCCGACTTAATCGGGATTTTAATGTCGGATCCCGACTTAATCGGGACGGGATACGGGATCCTCTTGTAGTTTGACTCGGGATCGGGACAGGATCGAGATTCGGGCAATCAGGATCGGGATCATCCTGATCCCACCCCTAATCCTAAATGTTAACTTGATAAAAGAAATAACTCAGGATATTAATACAACATTTTATTACTTAGTAATTTTTTAGTGTGAGACTTCAAATGTTTTGTGGTTAAAATTAATTAAGGAAATCAAACAAGTGAAGAAATCGATTTATAATTCGAGTTTAGGTGCTAAGGATGTTTTTACTTGGACTGTAATTTGCTTGTCGGTTTGGTCTGGTCTGATCTGGTTTGCTCTGGTCTGAACTGGTCTGGTCTGAACTAGTCTGGTTTCTCTGTATTTTTATAACTACCCAAGTCTTGTCTGGGACAAAGGTAAAAACATCCTAAACTAGTATCTTTACCCGTGCCGTGCACGGGATAAAACGATTTTGTTTTAATTTTACTATATATAACTGACATATGTAAACTTGTCATATGCATGAGTAATTATAACTAACGGAAAATCATTTATTTAGTCGATTTTAACTAATTATGTAAACTTGTCTCGGTCTATATTTTCCAACTAAAAGAGTCATTTTTTTACAACTATCGGCTAACATTATCTATGTTAGCCGAGAGACTTCTTTATTCTATTTGTTTTGCTTTATTTATTTCTCATGCATTGGATGTTTATTTTGTTTTGGTTGTGCTGCGTTTTTTCCAGCAAAAAAAACTCTTGAAACTAAGACAGGGGATCGGATCAGGAGTCGTGTCTGCAAGTCATAGGCTCAGGTAAGCCCAAAGCGGGATCAGCGAATTATATGGCTTCTACGGAGGTGATTAATTCACAGTCTGGTCCTTGGGCGGACGGTAGACAGGAGACTTGTTGTCACTTTGTAACCTGTTTTGGTTTGGCCGTTTTGGTTATGATAAGTTAAGCCAGTTTCTTTTAAAAAAAAACTAAAAGAGCCATTTTTTTACAACTCTCGGTTGCATCAAATGAACATTATCTTCTCAACCATCTTTATCTAAATAAAATAACAAATTGCTCAATACTTATTTTTATCCATTAAATTCCATCTGTAGCTTGTTGTTTTTCAAAACCAAGAACTACTCATGTTTGTAATGTATTTATTTAATTATTATGGGTGTGGTCATTTTTTAAAGATATATATTAGCCCTTCAAGGATTTTGAATTGAGCAAATTAGCATAACAGGCTTGTTGCATAACACGATTGATAGTGGTCGATTTATTTTTCATTAGATTGATTTAAAAAAAGTGTTATTAAACGAAGAAAGGTTGAATGCTTTAGAGTTTTAGTAGACAATTTTTATCTAGAAGGTCAACTGAATTAAATCTATAAAAGATACTCACGTCAAGTGGTAGGTAATAATCGAAACATAAACATGTCAAACTATGCAATAAAAAAATATAAAATAAAGATGCCCCGTAAAATAGTAATATATTAATGTTACATTTGGTAAGTAAAATAATTACCCTTTATACAACCTAGCTTATTTATCTAGTTGTTAAACA